ACAATGGAGACTATAGGTAATTACTGAAGGCCTCTCCTTCTTGAGCGTGGTCATCATCTTCTTGATCATCTGTTGCTTGTCCTCCTCTGCCCGGTCGTCCGCTTGCTGCTGGAGCTTCGCGTAGCCCATAACCTGCCACTTGTCCATCGGATTGAGGAAGCCATGCCAAACTTCAAGATCACAGAAGGGTGAAGGGTGCGGCTGCAGGCATGGATAATGCTTCGGCTGAGCCGTTGGAGGGTTCATGTAATTAGGGGTTTGGGGGTCTCTGGGGGTCAATGGGGGTTTCGGGAGCCAATAATCCTCTAGACAAAGCACCTCCTCAGAGATGTCGGAGGAGACCTCCAAGGCTTCTTTCAGAGACCATCGCGACATGGTCTGCTTTTTGAACCTTCAGGGTCAGGGTTTTGGGTTTGGGGTTCCGGGTTTATGGGGTACAGAATGATTTTTGAGGGAGGTCTCTGCTAGGGTCTGCGACTACGGCTTGGGGGTTTTGCTGTTTGTCGTGCATCAGAGGCTGCGGAGTGGAGGTCCATGAGGTTTACAGCTTTAGGGCCTTCCTTCGTCCGTTGTGTCTCGTTTCTTGGCGTCAGGTTACAGTTGGGGTCGTTTCTTTTTCGAGTCGTGGGCTTCGGGGTCGTGGCACTGCGGCTTCAGGGGTTTGGGGTTCAGGGTTGTTAGGCTTTGGGTTGATGGGCTCAGGGCTTTAAGGCTCAGGGCTCTCACACCAAAGCTTTGGCGATCGCTGATGTAATGACAATGGAAGTATGGCATGGGCCGTTGTGTCAACGGTCCGGGTCCTGACCCCAACGTTTCTCGTACGGTGAGTGTTGGTGTAGACTCGGTGAACCCTAAACCCTTTTCCTGGGGAGTGGAGGAGGTAGAGATGCCAGCCGACCGCCTTGCCCGCCGACAGCCCTCAGCCGAAAGGTGTCAGACCCTGAAACTATAAGAATTCTATAACCCAAACCCTGAAGCCATAGGAACCCCATAACTCAAACCCTGAAAACACAAGAACCCTACACCTCAAACCCTGAAACTATAAGAACCCTATAACTCAAACCCTGAAGCTACATGTTGGCTCATAGCGTTTTGGCGTTTTGAGTGGGTTAAAACCGAGGAGCCACTTCAGGAGCTTTGCAGGAGACGCCTCCTCAGCCTCTCCTGGCAGTCTCTTGACGTTTGTGTTCTTTCGGTTGCTCTTAGGGGTTTCCCTCCCGCTTAGGGTTTAGGGTTTAG